CTGGTCTGAAGGTGAACATTTCAAACCATTTATAATAATACAAAGTAATTGCTCAAAAGCAAGCAAGGTGATCACTCAACCAAGGAGGTAATACATATACCAATATTTTTTTACAGGTAACACTGCATTGTGGAGAAGTCTGCAACCCTGTTGAAGTGATGGAAATGCTTAAATTTAAGCCAGAACGCCTTGGCCATGGTACTTGTATCCATCCCAAGTATGGAGGGACTGAGGAAACATGGGCAACCCTTTGTGAATTAAAAATACCTGTTGGTCAGTTAGCCTCAGTAACTTATAAAATGTAGCACACAGTTTTTACTTATGCATTTATAACACAATATTTCACTTTATATTTTACAGAAGTGTGTCTTACAAGTAATGTGAATACTAAATCGACACCAGACTATGAGTCTCATCACTTCAAACTTTTTTATGATGCTGATCTACCTACGATTATTTGTGTAAGTAACACGTCGTCTATTTTTATTTTTCGCTTACGAGATAGCGCAAGTGAGTCATGAAGTCATGTTAGTCCAATCCTTTAAATTACATTAAGAAATTTTCTATTCGTTCCTTTGGTGGCGCTAACACCCTCGTCAAGTACCATCGTATTTAAATCTTGTTTTTATTTCCACAGACTGACGACAAGGGCGTTTTCTCAACATCATTGTCTCAAGAATATCAAATCTGTGTTAAAACTTTTTCTCTTACTTCATCACAAACTGCAAGATTAGCCCTGAATGCATGCCAATACATTTTTGCTGACAATGTTCGTAAAACACTCAATGATAAACTCCTTAATTTTATCGGAAAACATTCATTGTAACGTGATTACTTCGTGACTTGAAGTAAATACAGGGTTTAGTTAAATATTAGTGTTTTATTTTAGGTTCTCAGATTTTTAATAATAATAATACGCTTCTATTGTTAACCCTTTAACCGCCGACAACGTAATATTACGGTTTTCGAAAGCTGTGTCCGAATCGCCACATACGTACAATCACGTTATTTTATTAAAAATCTTCTTATAGAGCACAAACTCCGTATAAAATGTGTCAATTTCAAGATGTAGGGTATAATCTTTATTGTTATCGATATTTCTCAATGTTTTGAGTGATAAATACTGTGAAATTTGAGTTTTAATTAAATTGTGGTCACCGTCTCCATTATCCGTATCGCCAATCACGTAATTTTACGAGTACTAGGGATGGGGCGAATTCGAAAAATACTTAATAGGTTGTCTAAGAACAAACAAGGCACTATAGATATTACTGTCACTATTTGCAATGAAAGTGTATACTTTCATTAGAAAATAACCATAGTGTTACTTTGATGCAAGTATTTGTACTAATTAAAATGTATTTAAGTTTAAAATTATTTAATATTTATAACAATAATATAAACATTTCATAACGCAGAACCGCACTAGTGCGGACAATCGCCGGTCGCCATCACCGTAATATTACGTGCGGCCAAGGAGATTAAAGCGCTGTATTGAGAGTTGCCTTAGCGCCGTCACCGTAAAATCACGTTAAACATTTATCACTCAATGCAACTAGTGTTGTAAACCCTTTTTTGGGTTTTTGTTATTTCTCAAATAAATCAACACAGTCAAAACCAAATGTGTCCATTATGCAAAGTTAGAAGATGGTGACGCAAAGTTTTTGATCAGAGACCAAGTGATCCACGAAATGAATACTTTGCATCTTTAAAACTTTTGAGCTGGAAACCGTACTGTCGGAAATCCGCTCAGAAGTTTACATGAAAATATTAAATTAAATACGACATGCTCGTGGAGCATCGTCACCGTCGCCAGCAGGAGAACGGAAGACGCCGTGTCCATTTCCCGAATACACATTTTCGTATACTTCGTTTAAAGATTGAAAATTTTTAGATTATTTATTAAGTAGGTAAATAAAACATTGATTTTAATTTTTTAATGATTAAAGAATATATTCATCGATATTAAGCGTTTCCAACACTGTTCCAACTTATACCTAAAGTGACGTGGCGCTGGAGGTAAGTTGAAAGTTCAGAATCTTGGCGGTTAAAGGGTTAATTGCGTATTCATAAAGTCGTCGCGAAGGAACTTCGTCGCTTCTTACTTATAACAATAAATTATACGAAATGCATGGTTGTTTTTCACTAATAATTATTTATACACATATATATACAATAAATTGTATTTGATTTTTTAGCCATATGAAAATCCATTCTGTATCCATACGTCTAAAAAGCTAGGTACCCAAAGAAATTAGCAATTAAACAGCGTTGCGCGTTTAGTTACAACTATGATTGAATGTCAGTTTGAAGTTTGTCTCAAGCCCGTTTGTAACTTGATGAATCGAAACGTGAAATAACCTCAAAAAGCTGAGGAAGGTACCAAGATTTCTTGAATTAAAATTTCGTAAAACTAAAATCTAAAATGAGTGATTTATCTGACTTCGCGAGTCCTAAAGGAGCAGACTCCGAACTGCAAGATTTTCTTCTTGCAGAAAAACAAAAAGCCCAATTCCATGCACAGGTAAATTGATTATATTTTCATAAAATATATATTGGCTTTATTGCATCATTGTAAGTTTTCATTTTTGAGTAACAATTTTTTGTTTATTTCTTTAATAATACTAATGAGTGCGATATTACATGAAACATTACATATTTATTTTGTAACATTATGCGAAGCCTTCGTAGTCGTTACTCAATCCTGAGCTGAGCAATCAAATAAATTATTATTTTGTATCCGATCGTTACTTATTTCCAGATCCATGAATTCAACGACTTCTGTTGGGACAAATGTGTTGATAAACCTGGAGCCAAGCTGGACTCTCGCACAGAAACCTGCATCACAAATTGTGTCGAAAGATTCATAGATGTTTCATTACTTATCACTAACAGATTCGCCCAAATGCTCGAAAAAGGAGGTGGAATGCATTGAATCTTAATAGTCATATAAACGTGTTATAAACTGACCTAGTAGCTCAGTCAATGTATGCAACTGTTGTGCATTTTTAGGTTCAAGGTTTTATGAAGGTGCATTTTGTTTTATCTTAGTAGCTAGTGACCAAGCTGTTGTGATGTGTACTACAGTACACTTAGGGAGTACCTCAACAATTGTTAATTGAATTTCAGAATTAAACTAAGCTATTTAAATAATTGTTTTATTTAATGATATAAATAGGTTACAGATCAGTTCGGTTGAAATCTTTGTTAGTCTAATGCACTGTTACAAACTTAGTTCTTATTTGCTTAAGTTACTGTGAACTTGATACAAACAGTTACTTAACCCTTTAACCGCCGACAACGTAATATTACGGTTTTCGAAAGCTGTGTCCGAATCGCCACATACGTACAATCACGTTATTTTATTAAAAATCTTCTTATAGTGCACAAACTCCATATAAAATGTGTCAATTTCAAGATGTAGGGTATAATCTTTATTGTTATGGATATTTCTCAATGTTTTGAGTGATAAATA